AAAGCCAAATTAAAACTAAAGCATAAAATAAAAATCTTTTTCTTTATATTCTGTTTATTAAAGTTTACAAAACTTTTGATTTACAAAATTTTATTGATGACATACAACACAGTATTTTTTGTCTTTTTTATTAAGAAATATTTTATTCATTCCACATACCAACCACAGAATATCTCTCCCTCTTCCCTCCTCCTGCTCCCCCCAAGCTTTCCCCACAAGCCCATCTCCTACCCTCTCCTCCAAAAAGGTATGGCTTCCCATGGGGAATCAGGAAAGCCTGGCCCATTCAGCTGAGGCAAGTCCAAGTCCCTCTCCCTGTATCAAGGCTGTGCAAGGTGTCCCACTATAGGCAATGAGCTCCAAAAAGCCAGTTCAACCACATAATATTTTGATACATGCAAATATAGTGAAATGACTTAGTCAAGCTAATTGTTAATTATTAGCTTTATCTTGATCCTCATATTTTAGAGTGAGAATTCTTAACATCTGCTCTTAGTAATTTTGCTGTTTGTAATGTATCGTTATTCTCTGTCATCATAATGACATACAATAGATCTTGAATTACAATTATCATTCATAAATTTTGTTCTTTGACAACTTCACACATGTATATAATGCATTTAGATTACTACTCCCTATCCCTTTTTCCCCTTCCATCCCTCCCTCCTCTCCCAGTCCCCCTTCATCCTTAGGAGTCTTTTTCCCATATTCATAGCTTCTTGTTTTGTGTCCCATTGAGTTTAATCTGGGACTTGTATGTGACTATGAGTTAGGAACTGTCCATTTATACTGCAAAATATATTGTTTTGCATATGATGTCATATCAAAATTAAGTACTGTGTCACCTTTAAGATTTAGAACCTTCCATTTTACAGGAGTTTGGAACAGTTTGTATATTTTTACAGAGATAAAATTTGCTCACTACAATTATGTCAAGAGTGTTAAAAAAAAGTTTATACATATAGAATGCACCAAATTTGAAAACATTTCATTGAACACAAGCAAAAGTACAAATGTCTCTTTAGTTTATCTTAATATACATCAGTATTCGTACCCTAAAATTATTGATTTTTCTTCAAAGATTGACTCTCTCTCTGTCTCTGTCTCTGTCTCTGTCTCTCTCTCTCTCTCACACACACACACATACACACACACATACATACACACACACACACATTGAACTTTGAAAGTGTTTCTTGGGTAATTTCTCAAAGCAGGTTAGATCTTATTAATTTAGAAACATATAGAGATTAGTTGAATTGTATGTGATTTTAAATATCAATGTTTGTGTTTATACATCTTTGTTGATTGCACTCATCACTTTGGCGTTTGGAATCTTAGCTTAGAATTTAGGTCGGCTCCCACTTAGACTCTGCGATTCCAGACTAGGCTAATGCTAGCTGATAAGGGGAAAGAGCTGGTTCTCGTTCTACTTCTTGTAATACCTAAAAACAATAAACAATCAAAAAAGGCAGTTGAATTTATACTTCCACAGTTGGCATTTTGTTCAATATGTAAATTGTCATTATTTTGTGTTTTGTGTAATAATATCAGTTACTATAAAATAATTTTTATAGTAGGGAATATAACACTTAAAGTATCATACATTTTTAGCAACATGAGCTACCCTTTATCTCTAAGGTTCTTTTTAAAGATATTTTTATTTTATAATTAATTTAATTTTACATATCAGCCACGGATTCCCCTGTCCTCCCTCCTCCCACCCACCCCCAGCCTTCCCCCTCAGTATACCCCCCATTCCCACCTCCATCAAGGCAAAGTCTCCCCTGGAAAGTCAGTCCAGCCTGGTAGATTCAGTTCCAGTCCCTGGTAGAGGCAGGTCCAGTCCCTTCTTCCCTACACCAAGGCTGAGCAAAGTGTCTCAGCATAGGCCCTAGGTTCCAAAAAGGCTGGAGGGATAGCTCGGCCGTTAAAGCTAGGCTCACAACTAAAAATGTCTCTAAGGTCCTTATTCAAGCTCAGCTTCAATTCCTCAAGCATCTGCACTCAGAAACCTGGAACAGCACTGCAGCTTGTCTTTGATTTTATCTCATAATTTTTAGTGTAGATCTTTCTTACATTATTTTAATCCTTGGGTGTTTTCCTTGACTTTCAACAAATCTATTAACCAAGAATTAGAAGCAGATTAAAAGTCACCCACTCTTTCTCAAAGTTGCTAACAAGAAAAAAAATATTGTCCACAGAGATAGCAAATGAGATTTACTATCAACATCAGTGTCACTTAAAGTATGTATTATGTTTTATGTATTTTGTGAAAGTAGCTACACCTGGTCAGTGTACTCATAAAGCAAACTGCCCAGCCTTATTGAGAAGGCTAAAAAAAGAAGGTAAACCGTTTCTTCATCTGAACAGTCTTTCATATTTTTATTTCATGCATTGAACTCACAGCAGTCCTGATGTTGCAAGCATGCCTGATTTGTCGTGTGAGTTTTTAAAAGTATGACTTTATATTTTGGTGACAGATATTCCACATGACGTACGACCTCGCTAGTGCCGTGGTGAGAATCTTCAACCTCATTGGCATGATGCTGCTCCTGTGTCATTGGGACGGCTGTCTTCAGTTCCTGGTCCCCCTGCTTCAGGACTTCCCACCCGATTGCTGGGTTTCCCTAAATGAAATGGTTGTAAGTAACTCATGCTGTTTCTTTTCTGAATTCACAACATCTTGCCCAAAACTTCAAAGTATTTCTGGTAGCATTGTTGGCTTTCTCTTCCATAAAGGCTTTGTTTTTGAATATGGAATTAGACAACCTAGACTCTCTAAAGCTAAAACTTACTCTTGTATTCCTGGTAATGTAATGCTGCTGCCTCTATTTTTTAAAAAGTTTTACCTTAAATACTGAGATATACTTTATATAAGTGACATAAACACACACACACAACCATGATAAAATGTGCTTCCAAATATTTTTATATTTGTAATTAGGTTAAGGATATCTCAGTACATTTTGTGGTTAGCGCAAGGAAAAATTAATGGGAAAGATATGTTTTAATCTTCATTGTGCAGTATATGGAAATATTTTTAAATTTTAAAATATTATTTTATTTAAGCAAGTATAATAATATAAAATTTTAAGAAAATATCCACTGATATGAAATCTCATATTCATTTGGGTCTGTCCTTCATTTCACCCATATCTGCTAATAGTAGTACTTCCTCAGAAATTTTTTCTAAAAGCCTTTGTTAAACTGTGTATCTATCTCCCAGTTGATACTTAATTAAAAACACATTTAGTTTTTTGTAACCCCCCCCCACATGCTTATTCACAAATGTATATTCCTTAGGTCTACATTTTCTGTCCTTCACTCCCAAATTTAAGTTCAAAGAGATTTTTTTCCTTTGTCCTCAGTGTCATCCTAGCCTGTTTGTGCTGTTATCTAAGAGTACTGGACTGGGTAATTTATAAAAAAACAGAAATTTATTTCTCAAAATTCAGGAGTTTGAGAAGCTCAAGACCAAGGCATCTCCATGTTCAGTCTCCAGTTGCAAAATGGCAGTTTGTGTCTGAATTTCCTGGAGAGAGGGAAAGCTATTTTGCAATGGCAGAAGACAATATATTCACAAGGAATGACCCCTCATGATCTACCCAACTTCCACCAATTTCCATCTGCCAACCTTGTCGTGTCTTGAATTAAGTTTCCAAAGGGCAAATTTTGGGAAACAAATTAGAACCACAGAAGGTGGCCAAGAAAATACCTGACACAGTAATTTCTTTATAACCTACTTCATAACATCTTGATAAGTATTGATAATATAAAACTTGATAAATATTATTTATTAAAATTTATATAGACCAATATAAGAAATTTGTATGGGTTGGATCACTTTTCAAATTTCAAAATTTCTGATGCTGCCTTCATCTGTCCACTTACTTATCTTTGAGGAAACAAAATATATGGCCAAGTGTAACACGAATTTTATAAGGTCTTATAAATAAAAAAAAGAAACAGAGACAGATATTGGGGTGAAAGCTGAAAGATCAGAGAAGCAGAACAAGCCACAGCTAACCACACCTCAACAACTCCTCATCAGATCCTGTTTCCATGAATCCTCAGACTGAAAGCTTCTGAGTCCTCACGTGAATGGATCTCAGCTGAACTGCTGCTAAAAGCCTAAAAATTGAAAGCCTCTAGTTCCTGGTCCTCACACCATATATACCTTTCTGCTTCTGTCATCTCTTCCTGGGATTGAAGGCATGTATCTTTCCCAAACAAGACATGAGATCTCAAGTGCTGGGATTAAAGAAAAGATGTGTGCCATCATGCCTGGCTTTGTTTCCAGTGTGGCCTTGAACTCACAGAGATCTGGATGGATCTCTGCCTCTGGAATGCTAGGATTAAGAGTGTGTGCTACCACTGTGGGGCCCATATATCTAACTAGTGGCTGTTCTGTTCTCTGACCCCAGATAAGTTTTATTAGGGTACACAATATATTGGGGGACACAATATATCACCAAACCAAGGCAAGAATGAAGATATTGTCTGGGAGAGAAAGAGGAGATACTCTCTCATCAGGCTACGGATGGAGCATAGAGCAGAAAGACAAGAACTAATGCCAGAGATGACACATCACTGGCACAAATGCAATAATTAATTTGGCAAATAATTATTATTTAAAATTTTTCTAGTTACGTTCCAGAAAAATCACAGTTGCCATCACTGAAAAAGTAAAAGAATTCTTTTAAAATATCTAAAACATGCACATAGTTGTGTAATTATATCACAGGGCAATATATTATGTATTTGGTTCTAAGCAAATTTATTTAAGCATTTTATGCCTTTATTTCCTTTAAGATTGACTACATACAATTGTGTATGCCAAAGAAAGAGAGAGAGAGAGAGAGAGAGAGAGAGACAGACAGACAGACAGACAGACAGACAGACAGAGACAGAGAGACAGAGACAGAAAGGAGAGGTATTCTGGGTATCAGTGTTTGTTGTATTGTGTTTAATGTAATGTGGTTAAAACATCAATCTTCATTATTTCTTTCTATATAAAATAGCTGTATGAAGCTGCAAATCACTTCTTTGTCTCTTTTTGATTGTTTCTTTCTTTGAGAAAACTGGAATTTTCAGAAATTATGTGAATAAGCTGTTACACGGATAGAATATAGAGTCATATGTACAGTTCATATGGATCTGAATCTAAAATGTCTATTCTGGAATATCTTTGACTTAAGATAATATAGAAAGGTTAAGATCGATGATAAAAAGCAATCTTAATCACAGGCACAGTAACTGCTCTAAATTCAGTGTTTGATTTCTGATACTGAAAAAAAAAAAAAGCCAAACTGATGGTTTTCTTTATTTATTGAAAAATCTAATTGAAAGCAAAAACTTGAGACTAGAAATCAAGTTGTGTATAAGACACAGGAGCCTTTCATAAATATGGCATGATAATTAGGCCATGATATTTATCTTTGGCACTCCATTAATGTCATGCCCTTAAGTATTATTAAGAAACTGCATACATATCAAAATTCTGTACCCAAATTTGCTATATATCCTGATGTTTCTATGTTTATATTCAGTTAGCTACTTATTAGCATATAACCTATGATTAGAAATTCCTGTTCTAGTCTTTGATTAGAAATTTGAAGTTACCACCATAACTATGCTATACACTTTTACTGTGTTTAATATAATACAATTGGTTTGATATAGTCATTGTTATGTTAACTTTTTCTAATTTATGTTTTGTTCCATGAAAATAATCTTGATTCCTTTCAGCTAATTTCCTTGCTCATAACTTTATAAATTGTAAAGTAATTCTTATAACATTATATTGAAGGAGTCAATACATGAACTCAGTTGCTGACAAAATGAAGAGAAGGAAAAAGCTGACTTGGGAGCTGCAGCAAGGACAGGGATTCATCTTGTTAGACATTTCTAATACTTGCTCTTATTCCATTTATGAACAGAATTTGAATTACAAAATTCTTTCTGAATTAAGATCTTAGGTTTGGCAGATAATTAATGTCTAAGAAAATGTGTTACATTCCCATGATATCTTGTGGTTATGCTTGCTTGTAGAAAGCACTGAGAATATATTAATTTATTATAAAATTATTGAGGGTAATAGCATTGGATTCAATTATGAATGAGAAATATTAATTTTAAGAACATGACAAGATAAGACCATAGTATAATTTAAATTGCTTATTAACTACTTGAATCTAAAGTACTTTCACACTGTATGAAATATTATTGTGACATAAATATCTTGCAGTGAAACATTACTTTTCTAGAATAAGCTTTTCCATGATTGGGGCCTTCAAGTTATACTTAGGCAGTCCATTTCTTTTACCTACAGTCTTTCAGATGAACAGTTTCTTGTTGGTTAACATCGCAAAGGCTTTAATGTAAGCATATTATGACTTCAAAATGTTCTGAACACTCCACATGCAGAGTTTGAATTTACTTTTGTAATTTAGAACATGTTATATCCAAAAGTGTTACATCACATAAAGTTAGTTTATGGACATAATATGACATAATATGCAAATAACCCATGTGATCAAATGTAGATAAATGACATATTAAATAATGTGTAACATTTTCACAACCGTAAGATGGAGAATGTATTAGAAACTTAAGGTGCACAACACACAGTGCTGTTGTAATGAATCATGCCCTAGAAAAAAAACCAGTCACATCACGGCAGTATATTTATAATGGAGGCAGTTACTTGATTACAGCAAACATTCTGAATCAAATAGATTTACACAAAATTGTGTTAGTTCTATTATTTTGGTAGCATTTGACTTAAAGTTTTCATTTTGTAAGCTATATGAGATTATTTTAAGTATTAAATGTCTCTTTTACTGAAAATAGATTTTTTCCCCTCACAGAATATACCTGATAACAGTTCCCCCTCCCTCTTCTTCTCTCATTTGCTTCTCTCCTCCCATTCAGATCTACCTCCTTTCTGTCTCTCATTAGAAGACAAACAGGCAGACAGGAGAGATTGCTGAGTTGTTAAAGGGTAGGCTTGCAACCAAAAATATAAAGAGACAAACATGCTTCTGAGGGATAATGATATAAAATAGTATTTTATAAATTAAAAAAATTAACACATCAGAATTGGTCAAGACAAACAAAGAGAATAAGAGAACCCAAGAGAAGGTACAAGAAACAAACCAACTTGTTCATACACTCAAGAATCCCATAGAAACACTAAACTGAAAATCATAATATGTATGCAAAGGAACTGTATGTTAAAAAGAGACAAAAAATAAAAATAAAAACAATAAGTTAAAAAAATTAAAAGCCTTGACACAACATTATGAAATGAGGAACCTCCAAAGATGCTGTTGAGTTCATATTATGTTGGCCATCTACTACTGTACATGCCGACTACCCTCAAGAGTAGTTTGTTTCTCCAGTGAGACTCCCTTGTGGGAAACTACACTTTAATTTGCAAGTGGTTATCAACTGGAGAGTGCTTTTGTGTTAGGGATAGGGGTATGTGTCCACATCTTTCATTTTATTTTATGCTGACCTCATCCTTATGCTGCGTATCCTAGTTGCCAAGCATACAATGGAGAATGAGAGTAAGTTGTATGCTCATTAGTTCCATTTTTCAACAGGCATTCCTTCATACCACTTTCCACTGGGTGCTGAA